GCCATCGGTCCAGTCATTGCCGAGTTATTGTACCCGAGCTGGAGCAAAATTGACACCTATTCATTTTACACGTGGCACGTGCAGTGGCGGTAACCCATATACACTAACATTAAAAGGGTCCATGATTGAAAGGATGGATCTCACATATCTGACGCAGAAGACCGCTTGTCGATCCCTCGAGCGGTTGCCGAGCTATAGCCTCTCAAAAGCGTTTCGGGGCCGGGCCGGCTCGGGCTGTTCATATAAATTTTCCCTGATTTTCCCTTTAAAGTCACGGGTAAACTCGTCCGCTCGTTAGTAGCAGATTCAAGCACATTTGCCCATGACCCAATGCTGAATTTTGGTAGCCGACGTAACTTCGTTATTAAATCGTCACCCTTTTATAACCGTTTCACGTTCTATAGACCAAAAAAAAGAAGAAGAAAATGGTTGTAAATCAAGAGACCCGGCAACGAAGCTGACCACTTTGTCGCAACACAATGATAAATTACAATAGGTATCTTAAAGGAACGGGAAATCACAGATCGTTTTTGTGGGTTTACAGCATTCCAAAGTTTAATTATATCAAATATTTCTTCAACGGAGAACAACAACAAAAAAAAAATATTCTAAGCAGTGGCGCAGCCAGGATTTGGTTTCGGGGGGGTCATCGCCTCCAAAGCGGGCCCCCTAGTGTGCGGGCCCCCACCCATTTTTCAGAATCTTTCCATATTTCATATGCATTCTGCTGAGCGGGCCCCCTTTACCTACACGATAACCCTGAGCGAGTTTAAATCGGAAAATTTTGATATAGAACGGTATGCTCGGTATAGCAGTACCTATACAGTAACGGTATAGCAGTATACAGTATAGCAGTAACGGTATAGCAGAATAGCTCGGTAATCACCCGGTGCTCAATTTCTACGCGAATTGACCATGACAGAAATATGTTACTATGAGGTACGAATTCGTATCTTTCGAGGCCGAAATGTGCCCCTTCCGCAATATGCATAGCATATATGCTAACGGAGCTGTTGCCTGCTTCTATCGGACAATATTTAAGTAGTCCCATGTGCCTGTCCTAAGTCATCTATTGGCTGCTGTAGAAGATTGTGCCCTTATCCTTCTTCATTACGTAAATTCGATCACAAGAAGTTTTAACCCTCGCCGGCGCCCGGTACAGGGGGAGGAGATGATGCAACCCCCTAAGGGTTTTCGTGAATAACTCGCGTAAAAAGGGGCCGATCGCGACAACACTTTCAGTACCCTCGCGTTGATCAGTTTTACACCTACCCTAGAAATTGCATGACCCTGACTCAAATGACCTTTCACCTGTGACCTACTTTCCGAGACCATGTTTGGCCAGAATCGCGATTCGGCGTATGCCGACTCGCATTAGCCGCGCGGTTGCAGTCTTTTCGTGGTTTCAAGCGTTCAAACATGTGAGTTGATGCTGCTCCCATGCATTAGAGTGGGTGTCAAGGTCACCTGAAGGTCAGGTCATTGACCTATGATGACCTCGGTACTTTTTCGAATTATACATGTTTCTAGGCTAGTTTTTGGAGCTGATTCGAATTTAGCAACCATTTGAACATTCACGAAGTAGTTTTGGTGCCTTCGTAACATGTTACGAAGCTGCTAGAGGCGGCTAACACGTAGGTAGGTACTACAAATACCCGGCAGGACCCCTACTGGTTGACCTGACCTGACCTGACCCGACCTGACCTAAATGCATAAAGACATCATCTGTGATCAAAACTAACATGATAACTATTCGTGATCAGCACCCCGAAAAACCCTATAGTAGCCATACTTTACGACGTTCTAACAGGTCCCGATTTTCCCGATTTTTGGGTCATTGACCTGACCTGGAAGGTCAACCAATGACCAAGAACCTTAAAATTGAGTATCATTGGCTTACTCTCGTCACGGGCAACACGTTCGTTTTTATCCGCGAAGCTCTAGCTCGATCATGGGCCAAACGCGGGGGGTCGTACCACCCTCCCCCTTGTGCCGTCGAAGGACGCAAAATGGCTGGAATGGCCTGTGCCGGCGAGGGTTAACGCGCTCATATGGGACATGTATTGCCTTGGACCGGGTTTGTTGTGGTATGGTGATGTGGTAACGTAGATTCTGTCTGCTATCGAAGTCCCGGCATGGTGTTACTTAGCGCGGGGTACAGGCCAGACCGTTGCGCCTATAGTGCGCTGGAATTTTCACGATTTATAGATCAAGGCAGGCCCATGTCACTCCACTTTTGATGACATCATATGGGGGCCTCAGGACAATAATGGCGCGGCGCGCCACAATCGCTTCAAAGCTACTTGCCAACAGTTGCCATTTTTGAAAATATTATTTTGAAATAAAGTTCCAAGTAATAAAAATATTGTAATAAAGTTGTTGAATAAATCGATACCATATCTAAAAACTTACTGAAAAATGATTTATTCATAGTAAAAATATAAGCTCGATGCGTTTTTACGTTGCTTTCCTTCAACTGCAGAGGGTTTTTAAATCGTCTATATCTTCAAAACCGGCCATTTCTTAGCATAGAGCTTGCAAAATCGTGCAAAAATGGCTAAATTTGCCCCACACTGGTCCGGTCCCCGTGCAGTATCTCGGTAACCGTGGGCCCGATCGGCACGGGGAACACAGTATCGTGTAGAGAATCGAACGGGCTATCGAATGGTGTGCGGTGCAGGGATGGCACGCGCCACGTGCACCCGTGAGGGCACTTATGCTGGAAAATTGACGTTTCGGACAGATTTGGGACTTAATGCTATTTTCGGGTGACTGTTTGACGGAGCGGGTTCTAACAACGCCTGTTGGCAAAAGAAATGCACAGCCTCGCATGGAAAAATTGTGAAAAGCTAATTGATCAAAAACAAGGTGGAACAAATCGCTGGAGAAAATGGTATTTGTTAATGACTTACTTAATTACACGGGTTTTACTGCATGGTGCATAACCTGGTACGTTTGACAAATGAAAATGGCATAGTTGGAAAGAGCATTCAATTTTGTCCAAAATCCAGCCATCGCTTTTGCATGCAGTATTCTTAAAAATATAAATGTTTCAAACCTCTACATAGTAACTCATCGATGGCTTTCATTTTTCAATAACCTACGTCAACATTTGTTATAAACTACACATGACATGTTCTATAGTAGAACGCATGCTCATCAGACACCAGCACCTCGATGCGATGGATATTTTTCCTAAACCAAAATGCTTAGCCTGATCGACCGAAATGGATACATAATCCACGGACAAAAGACCAACCAAACGCCCACCGATCGAAAATACCCCTTATTCGCGTTGCGGAGCAAGCGGGTCACCCTAGCGGGCCCCATTCAACCGGGGACCCGGGCCCTATCCACACGGGGGCGCGGGCCCTATCCACATGGGGGCCCGGGCCACGTTCACCTTGGGCTCCGGGCCCCGTCCACCAGGGGACCCGGGTCCCATCAATCCGGGGGCGGGGACCCGGGCCCCGTTCTCCCGGGGGTCCGGGCCCCGTCCACCCGGGGCCCGTTCTCCCGGGAGGCCCGGGCCCGTTCTCCCGGGGCCCGGACCCATCCACGGGGGCCCGGGCCCCATCCAACCGGGGTTCCGGGCCCCGTTCTCCCGGGGCCCGGACCCATCCACGGGGGGCCCGGGCCCTATCTACAAAGGGGGCCCGGGCCCGTTCTCCCGGGGGCGCGGGGCCCATCCAACCGGGGGTCCGGGCCCCGTCCACCCGGGGCCCGGGGCCCGGACCCATCCACGGGTCCGGGCCCCATCCACCCGGGGGTCCGGGCCCCTTCTCCCAGGGGCCCGAGCTAATTCTCCCGGGGGCCCGGGCCCCATCCAACGGGGGGTCCGGGCCCCGTCCATCCGGGGCCCGTTCTCCCGGGGCCCCGGACCCATCCACGGGGGGCCCGGGCCCCATCCACACAGGGGGCCCGGGCCCGTTCTCCCAGGGGCCCGGGCCAGTTCTCCCGGGGGCCCGGGCCCGTTCTCCGGGAGGCCCGGGCCCGTTCTCCCGGGGGCCCGGACCCATCCACGGGGGCCCGGGCCCCATCCACCCAGGGGGTGCGGGCCCGTTCTCCCAGGGGCCCGAGCCAGTTCTCCCGGGGCCCGGGCCCCATCCAACCGGGGGTCCGGGCCCCGTCCACACGGGGCCCGGGGCCCGTTCTCCCGGGGGCCCGGACCCATCCACGGGGGGCCCGGGCCTCATCCACCCAGGGGGCCCGGGCCAGTTCTCTCGTCCGGTTAGATTAGACCTCTCTCCTCCTTCCCTCTCTCTCTCTCTCTCTCTCTCTCTCTCTCTCTCTCTCTCTCTCTCTCTCTCTCTCTCTCTCTCTCTCTCTCTCTCTCTCTCTCTCTCTCTATCAAGCGGGCCCCTGACAAATTTCGGGGGGGTCAGCTGACCCTCTGACCCCCCCCCCCCCCTGGCTGCGCCACTGATTCTAAGTATTTACCTAACACATGAAGCAGCTAAGCTGAAGCTTCAGTTGTGTTCGTAACACAATTAGGCATCATATAGCATGCAATCATCGTATAATAAATAAATCGCTTTTTCCGGGATCAATTGGTGACGCCACTTAGAATCCTTGCAACGCAAATGCCTAGGCAAATGCCTTTTTAACGGTTTTAATTGCTTTGGGGCTGAAAGACCGTATCTATAATGTTGGCACAAGGCACAAAACAGCGTTCCCTCGAGAGGTGCTTCAATATCATTTGGTGGTATGCCCGAGAAACTACATATAGTCTGATCACTATAGTGGTCAGAGAGCGTAACAAATGTAGCTATACCCCTTCATCGGACTAAGTTTTTTATACCGTCTGTTATGCAGGATAGTATTTTGCTGGTTGGACATCCCAGGATTCAGATTATAGCTGGACCCACCATCGCATCACCCTCCTACGAAACCCCATGAGCCTCGCGCTCCATGTTTGCAGGAATCGACGGGTGGCCTCCGGTCCTGCGCACGCCGCTCGGCGGTGAATCGAGACGCGTCGCGGGACTCCCCATGAGTGCAGACCGGTCCCTGCGAGGTGCGGCGGCCGGACCGGCCGGCCGGCGGCCTCAGTTCGTCGCCAGCGCCGGTCGAGGTTGTGTGTCGCGCGCGGCGCCGGGCAGCTCTGGGGTCAGTCGGAGCCATTGGCCCGTGGAGTCGGTCGAACAGCAGACCTCGAGGTGAGGCTAGAACCCAACAGACTGTTTTTTTAACGAAATATTTATTATTGGATCGTCGCAGCCGAGGCGGTCGACATGGGCTGGCCTGCTAGAAAGGTGCACAATGGTTCTAATGGGCTTAGCTAAACGGATAGGAAGGGTGGTGCTGCTCGGAACATTTCAACTGGACAGGCTATAAGCATTGAGCTAGCTATTGTATTTGAACAATGCCCCATTCCATGCTGTACTTCATTCGTGCATCACCGTTTGACTTGTATCCAATTATCGATCGATCGAGCCATGAAGTGACTCAGCCGACGTTAGTCACACAGGGTGACCTTTTCATACCATTCATATCGGTTTTATTGATTTTACGTCGGCGTTTATTTGCTACGAATATTTAATTGCCTTAGATCTGAACTGATAAATGTTTGCCAAGTGAAATGAAATGTTGATTTTATATTAACTGGACAGTGGACCCCGCTTCCGAGAATCTAAATTCTGACCCAAATCAATCCAGCTATTAGCACGAAATTCAGTCTGATTAGCGTCCTTCTCCGAATTTGTCGGATCTAGTGCACGAGCCATGTCGTTCCACTCAGTGTGCAGCGTGCACTGGCCACATCAGTTGTCAGAGCAGGAGGCACGTGCCAGACCGACAGAACAGCGGTCTGCACCCATCCCGCACTGGGTGTGTATGTTTCGTAACAGCTCGCAGTGGTGACTGGTGACACACTCTGGTGCTGAATCGCTCGTTCCTTTCGCTACAGATGCTGGATTACCGGTCACACGACGATGAAGAGGAGACGTACCTGTCCTGCCGAGACCTGTCCACGGACGGTGGGCGCGACTTTCGGCTCGGCTCCGTCTCCTCCTACGCCTCTGGCGATTCGATGCCACAAGACCTGGCCAGACAGGTCTCCGCCAAGTCCCCAAAGAACGCCTCTGCCGATGATGATGACTCGGACTGTGACAGCGACGCCTCCGGAGAGTACGAACCGCTGAGGGAGCCTTCCACCAGCCGCCTGAGCGTCCGGAGCGCCAGCCCGCCGCCGCCGCTACCGCCGCCCCGGCCGCGCTGCAACTCGTTCCACGCGAGGAGGCCCTCCACTGACAGCGTCTCGGGCAAGGCGGGCGGCCACTTTGGCGAGCCGCCCCAGGCCAGCCAGAGCCTTGGAGATCTGAGCACCGTGCCAGCCGAGCCGGCGCCAGCGGCACGACAGACGAGCTTCTACCGCTTTCTCGCCTCGCACAGACCGGCAGCGCCCAAACGACTTGCACTCCTCTGGCGACGCAAGTCCGACAGGACGACTCGCAGTGACAAGGTGTTCGACGACCCGGATGTCACTCTGAACAAATCGATGCCCAACCTGAGGAGCGGCACGCCGAAGGCCTGGTCATGGGGGAGGATGTCTGCGCCGGTGGCGGTGGTAACACCTGTCGCGAAAAATGCCCCGAATGCAGCAGCAGACAGCCCTTGTTCGATCTCTCCTAAGCGGATCCGGCCCTCGTCTGGAGTCTTTCATCGTGCGCTGAGCTCGCGATGGTTCGCATCGTTTCACGAACGAACTTCGCAGAGGCACCGACGAAGCTTCAAAGATCAGGCGAACGTCGTCGCACAGGCTCCTGCACCAGTCAGCCCGTCGGCCGCCAAGAAAGCAGCAGAAGACTGGCGAGAGAAACCAGAACCTTCCAAGTCCTGTAAGGAAGCCTTTACCACTGAAACTCGCCAAGATGATACTGAGGGAGATTATCTGGAAGTAGAACCGCGAGGAGCTTTCGAGTCCGCGTACTTCCAGCTTCCTGAATATGCTGTATGCGGCGACAGACTGGGACAAAGCGTCCCCAACATCAACCAGCTCACTTCGCCCGTTTACGAGCTGATGGTGAAGCCGCCCTCCATCATCGTCAACTGTCCGGAGGGCGGCAGTCTCGGTCAGGATCATCTGGCCCGCGACTGTCCCCAGGGCCAGTCCCAGCAGGAGGACGACGAGGGCTACATGACGATGGACGCGATCCACGTGATCCTCGGCTCGCCGACACCGCCATCTCCGCTGCTGGGGGCGCCGGACGTCAGCACGCCACCATCTGCGGACCTGGAGTCCTGCTACCTGGACATGACCGGGGTGGAACGGCTGCGACTGGCGCACGCTTTCGACGCCTGTCGTAACTCGGCCGAGGTCAAACCACCGGCTCTCCCGGCTCGTCCTTCGCTGAGGGGTCGCAGTCTGAGGACGGCAGCCCTCAGACATGCTTCAGGTGATAAGATTTACTACAGCAACCTCGACGACTTTCACCTCGCTCTGCAGGCTCTGCAGTTCGAGAGTCGGCCGGCCATCGCCGAGGACGAGTGAACAAACGACGTGTGCCGGCTCTGTGACAGAACCGGACCTGCCAGTAACGCCAGCCAAAACTGGGTGGCTTTGAGGGTCGCCAGAGGCACAGTGCAGGTCAGCCTCCTGAGAAACTCGGTGTCGACCCTGTTCCAGGTGTTGCCAGAGAAGAAGTGGTCATCGAACGATTTCGCAGTGCCGTGCTACCAAAAAGACTGCGCCAGTGACATGGTTAAGTGATCTTACCAGGGTTAAGTGTACGACATCATGTAAGATATCAGGGTTTTTGTTACGAGCGAGCGAGCGCAGCGAGCGAAGTGAGTCTTTTCAATATAACGGAAAAATCTCAGTATGAGCGGCCCGGCCCGGCCCGGCCCGGCCCGGCCCGGCCTGTAACGCTTTTGAGAGGCTTATATCTCAGCAACCGCTGGACCGATTGGCCTGCGGTCTTTTTTGTTGGGTAGCCCCATCCCTTCTACCCCGTAATTGACTACTTTTGATACATCTCAGTGACCGTCGTGGCACGTGCCACGTGAAAAGTCAAGGGTGTTCAAGCTGTTTTGCAAAAGTAGTGATTTTGAGAGGCTCATACCTCAGCAGCCGCTTGGGCGATTGACTTGCGGTAAATTTTATAGGGTAGCAGCATCCCTTCTACCCAAAATAGGATACTCTCGATGCATGTGGGTCACCCCCAGTTCACGTGCAAAGTACAACAATAAGAGGTGCCAAATTTGTTCCCATTTCAGTAACTCGGTAATTACTGGGGCGATTTCGCTGAAAATTGGCATACAGGTAGGCACCCACCAGGCAATGCATTCCCATGTGTTGCGGTTAGGGTGCTACTGCACGTGCGCACGTGCAGGGGGCGTTTCCAGATCTCGAGAACGGCTGGGCCGATTGCGCTCAAATTTGGTAAACGGTTGGGGACCAGTTAGTAGGGTGCCGTGCAAAAGTCATTTTGGACCCCGTTTGCACGTGCGCACGTGCAGAATGCCACTTCCAGATCTCAGGAACGGCTGGGCCGATTGCGTTCAAATTTGGCACACCGCTAGCGACCGGTTAGAAGGGTGCAAGCCCGTTGGAAGCACCCTCTCGCCCTTCCGCACGTGCAGGGCTCACTATCTCGCTCGCTCGTTCTTCGCCCAAAAGGCGTTTTACTGGTTTAATATGTTTATGGCGTGTACACTGTATATATATAGATGTCGTTGACGAGCGAATTTAGGGATTCGGGGTGTTTTATGATCGACTGTTGTGAAGTCGGTTTTCAAACGTAACGCCTATGGACGTTATAAAGTGGGGGTATTTGGAGAGTGATTTGCGTGCTCTTAGAAACATCGTGACTCCAGCACAGTCCCAGTGATATATGTATAGTCGCGGCTGATGCGGGCACGAGCCAGACATCACGTACGTGATGTCTGGTGTTATGGAAGTATTCCGCGGAGCTTACCCGCCCCGCTTGGAAAAGCAATAACCCGGTGATGCATGCTGTTCTGAATTCAATGCGGTAACTGTCGGCGGGCCGGCATATTGTGTTCATGGTGTTGCTGTATTATATGTGTTCTGACATTTATGTATCTGATGTTCCTGGAATACCTGTTATTATAACGTAAATGGGAGAATATATACCCGCATCAATTATAAACGGCGTGTTGAAAGGCACCGAATGTCACAGGTATTTTCATGTTTCTTTAATTTAGAAGTTAAAATAATCTAACTGAAAAGGAACTTGGAATTTACGTCCGACGTCGTCTGTTTGAAGCCAGTGCAACTGATGATACATTCCAGCACTCCTTAAATCTGCCGCAGCCGGGCCATGGAGTCCATCGGCCGATGTTTCGTTGATAGGTATGTGCAAACAACCAACCTCGTATGGCGCACGGGCTTAGCAACCGCACGCTGACGGGAGGGGGCGTCCCTTGATATGTTTATTATACTAACCCATCTGCTGAATATGTGTAATGCATATTGAGCTGTTATTACGAGCGAGCGAGCGCAGCGAGCGAAGTGAGTCTTTTCAATATAACGGAAAAATCTCAGTATGAGCGGCCCGGCCCGGCCCGGCCCGGCCCGGCCCGGCCCGGCCCGGCCCGGCCTGTAACGCTTTTGAGAGGCTTATATCTCAGCAACCGCTGGACCGATTGGCCTGCGGTCTTTTTTGTTGGGTAGCCCCATCCCTTCTACCCCGTAATTGACTACTTTTGATACATCTCAGTGACCGTCGTGGCACGTGCCACGTGAAAAGTCAAGGGTGTTCAAGCTGTTTTGCAAAAGTAGTGATTTTGAGAGTCTCATATCTCAGCAGCCGCTTGGGCGATTGACTTGCGGTAATTTTTGTAGGGTAGCAGCATCCCTTCTACCCAAAATAGGATACTCTCGATGCATGTGGGTCACCCCCAGTGCACGTGCAAAATACAACAATAAGAGGTGCCAAATTTGTTCCCATTTCAGTAACTCGGTAATTACTGGGGCGATTTCGCTGAAACTTGGCATACAGGTAGGCACCCACCAGGCAATGCATTCCCATGTGTTGCGGTTAGGGTGCTACTGCACGTGCGCACGTGCAGGGGGCGTTTCCAGATCTCGAGAACGGCTGGGCCGATTGCGCTCAAATTTGGTACACGGTTGGGGACCAGTTAGTAGGGTGCCGTGCAAAAGTCATTTTGGACCCCGTTTGCACGTGCGCACGTGCAGAATGCCGCTTCCAGATCTCAGGAACGGCTGGGCCGATTGCGTTCAAATTTGGCACACCGCTAGCGACCAGTTAGAAGGGTGCTTTGCGCAAGCCCGTTGGAAGCACCCTCTCGCCCTTCCGCACGTGCAGGGCTCACTATCTCGCTCGCTCGTTCTTCGCCCAAAAGGCGTTTTACTGGTTTATTTCATCCATGGCGCCACATGACACGAACACGGAGTCGTTCAATGACAAAGCGGCCGATTGTGTCGCAAGTAAACACCATTGGCTCTACCCGAATGTTTTTTTTTTATCAAAGGCACCACAGTGGACTGTAACTCACGCATAATGTGTGTGAACACTTAGCTGATATTGCCCGACCCGGCATGAATTGCAATATACGTGCCTTTTTGGTTTTCAAACAACAATTGCAGTAGCGGCGGAACACCTTCAATTAACGGGGGGCACTGCCGACTTTTGGTCCCATTCTTTCCCTGCAACGCCCATAGGGCTAATGTTAAAATGCCAAAATCAAAGGGGGCACGGTGCCCCGGTGCCCTCCCCGTTCCGCCGCCTATGAACAATTGGAAGGTCAATTAATGACTACGATTAAATTTATAACAAATTAATTAATAACTGTAATTAATTAACTAATAGGCTGGCCAAAACAAAGCCGACAAAGACCAGTGCAGTGCATTTGCTACGTTATCGTGACCGATATTACAATTCACATACACAACCGATGACCGAAGACAGATGACTATATAGGAATGATATGTGCCATCCTAAGCGTCTGATACTCTGAATTAACTTGCAGACAATGAGTTCACGTCTAAGCTATGACCCTCAATGCCTGAAATTCCTGGGCTCATTAACGATTTCCCAAAATTGCACGTGCGCCGCAGGAGTTTCCCGGGGCCAGTTCGAGCCGGATCTCGTGCCGTCCTCGTCCCGTCTCGGCTCAGTGGCGAACACACGGCACACTGCGGCTGCGCAGCGTCAGAGGACGAGCTGGCGGACAGGCCGACCGGCCGCGCCGTCCGCCGGCCTCCTGAGGGACGTCTCCAGCGTCACCGGCGTACGGAGCGGCCCGCGTGCGCCGTGTCGCCGCCGGTAAACATGCCAGAGAAGAGCGACGCCGGCGACTCGGCGGCACCGAGCACGACGCACACCGACCCGACGGCCCGGTCACTGGCGTATCCGTAACGGGGTGCTGTTTTGAAGGACGGACTTCACTGGAGGATTCATGTCCGCGGCGCACGAGGGCACGAGCGGCAGGATGAAAGTCTCGCTGACGCTTTCCCCAAGGCCAAAATTAGCCAACTTGCTTTTGCAGTTTGCTGAACTCGTAAACCGCTCGTAGGTATCCTAGGCCAGTATGGACTAGCGTCGCTTATCGCCGCGCTTATCGCCAGCTGCGATAAAAACGGCTTTAAAAAGGTCGCCAAAATTAATAAGAAAGAAATTCAGCCATTTTTAGGTCATGTATGCGTTCACCGTTTAGCTCATCAGAGGCCATTTTCAGTCACTTCCCCGACATCGACATTTTTTAGGCATATAACTTGGCGCAAAAGTATACAAGGTATAGAGCGGCACATTCACTTGTAGGTTCATGTAGAATTAGATAGTATTTCTTTCGATGCGTTGTGGTGAACGGTTCCCTTATAGAGCAAACCGTCAGAATGGAACTTAGGTACCTAATATTTTTTTGAACATCTTTTGATAACACTTCTACGAAAATGCCTTTATTTGTTGCAGAGCTCCTCTTGACATCAATTCCTCATTCATAATGCTTCTCCCTCGTGATGCGTCGAATGAACGTCGAATCTTGGAACGTCGAATCCAAGACACTCGTGGTGGGGAACAGCTAGCTACCCCTGCCATATGTACGGAATCGGGACGCCGCCGCTTTTTGTACTCCGCAGTGACGGAGTACAACGGGCTTCCTCCAGCTCTGCGCAACGTAGGTCAGGCTGCTTTCAAGGCCAGACTGAGAAAGCACCTTCATGAGCGCGAGCAAGTGACGTAAACGGCGGTAAATGTATGCTGAATGTGTTGTCAATTTGTCTGACCCGACTGTGTGAACTGTGATGCCGCGTGTTTGTTTCATCATCATTGCCCCCCATTCTGTATCTGACTCGAGCATGTAATAGCCGTATTTTTCCACGGATTTGCCTCACGATGTGAAATAAATAAATAAATAAATAAACTTTAAAACTTTGCCTTATATTCATCGGATAACTTTTCCACCATTCTGTGCAAACATATTTGCGTGCTTCCTGGTACCATCATGTCGGTCGGGATTCAAGCGTTCATAACAAAAACACCTGCGACATCTGCAGAATGTCTCAGTGTGAAATAGGTGTCCCCTGGTCCTCATCTGTGACAAGTTCTTACCAAACGTTTGCTGAGTGTTTGGACGGTTTTCCTAAGGACTTCGTCTCCTGCCCTGTTTGTCATGCTCGTCATGTGGCCGTGTGTGTCATGTGATCTCATTCCCATAGGGAGTGTCGTTTGTCGGAGTGTTTCACTCACTCCTCAAATTATAGGTCACCGAGTCTTCGCTCGCCGAACACATTAGTGTCAAATGCCTGCGGGTCGCGCCTCAGTTTGATTGAAATGAATATAAACTAATGGACGGTGAGGCAACCGAAGCTAGCTGGTGCTGTTCATTATCCTGGAATGTGAAAGTTAGTTAATCGGCAAATGTAAACCGGGTGACGCGACATAACTATGCAAACAAACAGCATCTAGTCCAGTCCAGATTCGATTCGAGAATCTAATTTTCCGGAATTTATAAATACGGTGTGACCCAATGTCGTGCTGCGAATTTTCAAATTGCCACAGCCGTTTGGTATTGCAGGCCTATTTCGTTGCTTTTGATCAAAGACGGATTGGGATGGGTCGTCTATCCCGGCTACTGTACTCGTACGAGCCGGCCTCGCACGCACGCACGGCTCGCACGCACGGCTCTGACACTGGACGAATGGACAAAGACAGTCGCTCCGACTATCACTCAATTGCAGTTGAGTGTGAGTGTTACTTGAGTGCAGTTGAGAGCAGTTTGAATGTGAGTGTTGAGTGTCACTCAATCCTACAGTTTGAGTGACTCTCACTAAAACTGCACTCAATTGTAGATATATGTATGCAGCGGGACGCAGCGCCCAGCTCGGCTTCTTATACCCTTCTAAGGAAGTATGAAAAACATCCCACGGTATGCCTACATATAGTTATTATGAAAATACTGACCGGCCGGCCGCCGCACCAGCCAGCGTAG